CATCCCTCCATCATCCCTGGGGCTGCGCTGGGCTCTCTCCAGCAGTTCCCTGTCCCTCTGGAGCTGAGGGGCCAGAACTGGACAAAAGATTCCAGATGTGGCCTCACCAGGGCAGAGCAGAGGGGCAGGAGAACCTCTCTGACCTACCAGCCACCCCCTTCTAACCCACCCCAGGAAGCCGTTGGCCTTCTTGGCCACGAGGGCACTGCTGGCTCACGGCCATCCTGCTGCCCACCAGCAGTCCCTTTCAGAAGAAGGGGTGTGGGTAATCTAAAGGTATAACTGATCGCAACGAGCTTTATCGTGAACCTCCCCTTTTCCACCCAGGAGTGATATTTCTATCTCGAGCTCACCACTGCAGTGCCGCAGAACTTGCCATCAGAAAAAAAACTTGCCATCAGAACTTGTCATCAGAAGAACAGCTTTGGGAAGAGTCGATTAACTGGAGTTTTACATTTCTCGTCTTGCGGGATGCCCCAAAACCCACCTGCATTTGCTGCAAATCAGACTTTTGGTTGCCTGTCCCTAAGCACTGTCCTTACTCTGGTTTAATTTCTTCAGCGATTAGGAGTAAAGAAGGGAGGAAAAGGCACTTACCTTCCGCGGAGACAGTAGTTCCCTGAAAAGCAAGATCCTGTTTCCCTCCGTCTGTGGCTCACCTCTCCTCCGCACCACTGCTTTTAAGCCTGTAGCAGGATGCTGGGCGCTGACGGGGAGGTCATCGGTGCTCCTGCTTTTAGCTGGATGGGTCATTATGAATCATTACAGGATTTTTTTAACGGGGGCTGTAACAAAAAAAGTTCACTTATTGCCACATTTTTCAGCTTCAGTGAGTTGGTTTGTGTTTTTTTTTTAATTTGTTTGATTTTTTTGTTTTCCACTTCTTGGACAGAAGGAGTGACCTATTGGTTTCCTCCTTTGAGGTGCGATGGCCCTTTATTGCCACGGCACATCTTGCACGGAGAAATGACGTCTCTGACCACCGGGCTGCCCTTTCTGACACCTTTGGTTTGAGTTCGAAAACAGGAAGGAAAAAAAACAACAGCAAAACCGTAAAAGGAGTATTTGGGTACCCAAGCACTTGCTGCTGTTTTCTTGCAGCCGTGACATTCGGTAAAAACTCATCAGCTGGACTTGCCCCACTTTTCATCCAAGCCTGGTTTTGTCCCCCAAAGCCACATCTGAAATTGGGGCCATTCACCATCGTTTTCTCTTTTAGGGGATGGCAGGAGGCACCGTGAGTGGCCGCAGATTCGCGTCAGTATTTTTCCCCATGAGACATCCCAGCTCAGCCCAGGAGCTGGAGGAACATCTGGAGCTCATCAGCCCAAGGGCAATAGATTTGTAGGGGCGTCTCCCGGGAACTGGGCTCGTTTTTTTAAAAAACCTCGAGTCCGGTGAAAGGAAAAAGGCTTGAGAAGAGCAAACCTCAGGGTAGCCCTAAAGAACCGGGTCTGGCCCTAGAGGAGAGGATGCTGACAGCTCTGGGTGGACACAAAGCAAAGCCCTCAGCTCCTGGCAGACGCTGGGATGTCAGAGGAGCTTTGGAGGGCTGCTTATTCTGAGGATTGATGGCAGGTTGCAGTTCTGGGGCAGTTTTGAGGTATTTGGGCAGCCCTCAGCTAAGAAATGCCGACGCTTCCATGCTTGGGGGGACTAAATGTGCCCTTTTCTCAGAGGTGTGGGCGATGGGCAAGTCTGAGGAAGCTGGATTTTATCCTCACCAGCTGCCAGAAGAGCTGAGGGCTCCAAGTCTTGGTTTCTCCACCACTTACTGTCCTCTCCTCCAGGAACCTTCCTTCTTGCTGTTGAGTAATGGTAATTACTCAAAGAGGCTTCTGTAATTATTATCACTGTCAAAATACGGTTGGTGTTCGGGGGACACTCATCTGGAAGAGCCTTTTAATTAGGACCAGCAGTGGCCTTAGGAGAAAGCCTGACATCAGAGGAAGAAGGTAGGAGATTAATTAACTCAACCTTCAGAGGAGAGGTCCAGATCTCCTGCCTGTCACTTGGATGGAATATTTATTAATGCCTCCAAATTAGCTCACGATGACACTGTTTGCCATGTCCCCCTGGCCCAGGAAGACACACGAGCTGTCTGCGGCGATGGGGGGCTCAGGAGATGAGACGCTCGGCTCAGCCAGCGCAGTGCTTGTCGTGTTGCTCCTTGGATTTCCTCATCGTGGCTCCCAGTGTCAGAGGGGCTTGGAGAGATGTCCTACAGGACGCTTTCCCCACTGCCCACTGCCCGCTGGGATGTACTGATCTCCTCTTCCCAAGTGTTCTCTGTGGTCTTCCCCTTTCCACCCGGTGCTGGTGGGTCTTCCACCCTGGGGGACAGCGCTGTGAGGCCATGGACTTACGTTCCAATGTGCACACGCAGATCTGGATTTTGTCCCATTTTAGGACTTGGAAAGGTTTTTATGGACACCAGGTGGCAGCCTCGCTCTGCCCGTCCTCCTGCCTGTCCTCCCTTCTGCGTGTCCTCCTGCCCGTCCTTCTTCTGCCCGTCCTTCTTCTGCCTGTCCCTCCTCTGTCTGTCCTTCCTTCTTCCACCTGTCCTCCCTCTACCCATCCTCTTTGTGCCCATCCATCCTCTCCCATCCTTCCTCTCCTCTCCTCCAGCTGCCTCACAGCCTCCTCCTTGGCAGCTCCCAGAACACCCAGTCCATCCCTGTAAGGTCAGAAGCGATGTGATGTCCCTCTCTTCGGCAATGGAAGACCCCGGCTTGAGGGCTGCCATCGATAGGAGCACGCTGACGCCACCACCCAGTCGGGTTGCTTTTTGGTTTGAGTCCTTTCTTTGTGTCCATCTTTGAACATCTGAGGACACATGAGCACCCTGCACTGGTGGAACATGGACCAAGGATGAGGATGGTGGGACATGGCCTTGCTGGGTTGTCCAAACTCAGGTTGGAAACATGATGAGTTCCTGTTCTCAAATTCTAACACAGACCTGCTGAGCCTCGCTCTGCCACCAGCCAGCTCCCGCTTTGGGGTTTGACTTCCCCGTCTGATGCGGTGGTGTCGGGCTGGCAGGCCTTGGTGCCTCCATGCAACCGCCTGAAGGCAACCACAAAGTCACCACAGATACATCAAACTGCCCCACTACCGCTGTCCCGCAGCTGTGGTCGAACAATCAGCGCTCTCCACTCTCCTTTTCCCCATGGCTCAAGATGTTTTGGCCTCCTCCCTCCCCACCATGCTTGGAGGCAGTTTCACACTGGTGTGGGGCTACTGCCGAGACACGACTGGGTAAAGAAAGACCCTCTTGGTGGTTCAACCTGAGGCACCTCCTCCAGCGTGATGTCACATGTGCAGCTTCGATTTTGGGCATTTTTTCCTGTGTTCTCTTTGTGGGTTTTTAAGAACAAAGGGATGGTGATTAAAGAAAGATGTTCTGCACTTCCAGCAAGGTGTTTTGGCAGCTGTGAAGGGACGTGACTTCTTTTCCTGCCTCTTTTCCCCTCCGTGCGTGCTTTTCTAGGTAGGGAACAGTATCTGCCTTTGCTGCCCCAGAGGCGAGGGCCTGCAGGCTCCTGGCTGACCCTGGGTGCCAGGGAGGAAGAGTGTGGTGGGATGGAGAGAAGGTGCTGAGCTATGCAGCAGGCTCTGATGAGCTCGTTTGGAACCATGAGCTCCGAAGAACAAGAACAGGCATCAGTGTCAGGTATCCCTTCCCAAAATCAAGCTCAGGCTGTATCTACCCCCATGGTGGTTCTCCCCTTTGGAGGCAGCTATTTTTCTCCCTTTGCTGTGAATGTAGCAGACAGAAATTGGGCGAGATCCCTCCTCCCCCCAGCTCCCATCAGTCACCTTTCATGAGCTCCAAATGTCTACGACACACGGCTAGAAAAGGGAGGAAAAGCCGTTAGGTGCCAAGGGTGAGGGACCTGAACATGAGCCTGGAGGAGTAGAATTGGTTTCGTGAGCAGATGGTTGGACGAGAAAGCAGCTCACAACCCTGGGAGATGGGAGGGCTAAAGGGGGAACTGTGTTGGGGTCAGGCACGGGGCTCTCACAGTTGGGATCTGGACACCTGGTGGGTACCCAGCCATGGTGACGCTGCTGCAAGCGTGTCCCTGCTCCTCCTCACCAGCGGGAGCTGCTGGTCATTGAGGATCACCTGAAGGTCTACTTGGAGGCTCTGCCCTCTCACCTGGGTTAACTCAATTTCACCTCCTTCGGCTGAAGCTCCATCAATCAGC